AGAAGGTTTTGTTATTTTTCTTTTATTGGCCTCTTCCCCACCGCACACATGGTTCTTCTGGTTTTTTTTTTTAATTTCGCGCAAAGCTACACGAGGGATATCTGCGCTATCCCCAATTTAGCAGTGTAAGACTAGAGGGAAGGCAGCTAGTCATCACCACCCACCGCCAACTCTTGGGCTACTCTTTTACCAACGAATAGTGGGATTGACCGTCACATTATAACGGCCCCACGGCTGAAAGGGCGAGCATATTTGGTGTGACAGGGATTCAAACCCGCGACCCTCAGATTGGGAGTCGAGTGCCTTAACCACCTGGCCATGCCGGGCCCTTACAACGTTATGGCACGGATTTGGATACCCGTGGTGGGCACAGTACAGATATCCTTCTGTGCGGCTTTACAATTAACTATATACAAATAAACCACTCAAAATCAGCACTATAATTACCTAGCGTAACGCCCTCCTGGTAAGATTAATTTCCGGGAGAAATATATGTTTATTTATCATTCACAAGCTTGCTCAAAATCACGTCTTTTTTTCAGTTTTATTTCACATATCTCTTACCGTTCAAACTTGTTTCCCTGTATGTTTTAAAGTACTTTAGAAGTTTATTGTTATTAAAAGATTACGTTGAATAAATGAAAGTTCGAATGGATACTACATTTCTTTATTCGAATTTCCTATTCAATAAAACATCGCTTGAAAAAATCGTGAGTTTATTGCAGTTTTTTTTAAATCCAGAATTCTAAACAAAAAGTTTGAAGTTTAAGGGCAAAAATTTCTGATGGAAAATTTATTTTTATTTGCATGTCTGAATTATATGCACATCAATGGTTGTCATGGCAATTCTCTCGGTACATACACATTATTGGATCGTCTAAAGTCTATTATTTTTCTTGTCTTTTTCACACTTTCCTTAACTGCATAGTACTGTAAAAACAGAGGATAAATATTTTCGATAATATGATTGTAGGTATAGTTACTGACAGCTTTAGAAGTTAAGAGAGAAGTTAACGCTATGTATTACTCATCTTCAGTTAGTGACGACATCTAATGAGAGATGTTGTCTCTACTACAAAATATCGAGTTTAGTATTTTATCTTGACAAAGTGTTTGGTTCGAATAAAAATAATGTTATTACTAACTGAAATATTTAAGACAAATTTTGCCCATTTCTTGTGAATAATTATTTTTCTTCTTATTTGTAATAAATGTCAGTATTGTAAAAGAGCCCCAATGAGAAAGTATACAGCGGTTAGAAACTTTATTGTTTTTAGCCGCGGCATAACGGCTCATAGAACGGCTCTCTTTTGTTGTTGTTGCTGTTGTTGTTTTTTATCTTTTAGCTTATAGCTCCACTATCTCTTGGCCGATTTGAAACCTAATTACAGTTTAGGAATCAGGAGGTCAAACCCTCTTGATTGATGTATTTGACGACTCCTAAGGTCTCATATATTAATTCACTCTAATCCTGCCTAAATGAATTTCAATTTGAGGGTTGGCTGGTAGAGATCCTGATGAGTAATAAAATCGAATCGGGTATACGCGCGCCCCACACTTAGTATTGCTGGCGCACTAAAATATAGCTAATAAAGAGGGGGAAAATCTCATAGATTAATTTACTCTAATCCTGCCTAAAAAAATTTCAAGGGCCGCGGCTAATGAGGATTCCCTCTTGTTTTATTAGGTAGTTGCTATTACGAGATAGCGTATAATGTTGTCAATGGGGGGTCACGCATCTGAATTTCTTATTCTAA